TGTTACACACTGGAACTTTAATTATGTGATTTAATGGTAGATTAAAGTCACCAAATCACATGAATTGCACTAGAGCCAGAAGCAGAGACTGTGTTTAATGCTGCTAAGCTTTGGTTGGTTCTCCACCATGGTTGACTTTCAAAATGGATCCTTTAAAAAACATTTTTTAAAGTTAATTTCGTATAAACTTTAGTTAAGGCTCGCTGTGGCTATCTCACCAGCACTAGTTTGCAGTCTTTCTGTGGCAGAGAGTGCAGTAAATGCCACAATGAGTTCAAGATTTTACAGATTACCAAGCCAAAATGCAGTTAGGTGAGTAGAAATAATGGCATATTAAAGACAAACAGTAATTAGTGTCTTTCGTCTCAATAATGCGACGTGTTTGAGTGCAAGAGAATATGTGCGCTGGGATTAGAAAGTGATGTTAAACAATCCATAATGGCATGTGCACAGACAAAGTGAATCATTTTACGGGATTACACAAATGGCGCAAATACGCAAAATTCGCCCCATTTGCGTAACTTGAACATATTCAACTTTGAGTGAAAAATTGTTTTGTAGTGTTGTGTGGGGAGGACCAGAGAGACAGAGCTACTGCTCACTGACAAGACAGTTGCTTGATTCTGGGGAGGTCTGCAGAAGAGAGCAGGGGGCAGAGCCGGAGCTCCTGGAGTAATAAACAGCTGTAGTCACTCCAGATCCTGCTCTGATCTGGAGCCGTAACAGCAAGAGGAGAGCTGAGAGTTTATTTTCTTTACTTTTGGGACCAAAAAGTGGAGATTGCCGGACATAAAAGGAGATTGCTGGGAGAAAAGTGAGATAGGGAGTTGGGCTACCTGGTAAATGCTGAAAATATGTGTCTGTTACTTGATCAGCAAGTTTGGGGTTCAGAATCTTGCTCAAGGACACTTCAACATGCAGCAGGAGGAGCTCAGGATTGAACCACCAACCTTCTGATTGGTGGTCACCCACTCTACCTCCTGTGTCACAGCCACCACCAAAACGCTCTGATAAGTCCGCTGTACACTCACCAGTTTGTAGTCTTTGTGCAGTTTGTTGTACTGGAACATGTTGCAGAGGACAGTTGAGGCCGCTCTGGCAGCTTTTAGACTCCCACAGCTAAACCAAGACACAGTGACAGACAGTTAGAAACGAGGAGCACTAACAGGGAGGAAATACCACAGCATAGGGAGAGTGGTGAAACCCAAAGATAAATACTCAAAAATGACCTGCAAATTAGCAGAAGGTTACATTTTTGTTGGGCCAATGGCAGGGCGAGCAGTGACAGCTCCAGAATATGTAAAGTCATGAACAGGAAACAGAAGTCACTGAGAGGTCACAATCCTGGTTTAACTGAAAGATTGTAGGACCAAAAAAATATGAACCAATAAGGAGGATGAAGAAAAGGGTTTGTTGCAATAAAACATTATTGGTGAGCAGAGAGTTCTACCTGTTGTCATGGGATGTCTTGATGCCCACCAGTTTCGGCAGGCCGTCGAAGTACGAGATGTCGCGGGCTGCCAAGGAACTGCAGGTGACCAGGTTATTGAGAGCTCCGCAGATGTTGACCACCACCTCGCTGGATGGCGTTTTCTGAAGGCCGTCACTGGGCAGCTTGGACACCAGAACTCTCACCATGTTCTTAGCTGCATTGACAAAGAGCGAGGGTGGTCGTGTCTTACAGAACTACTTTTAAATAAATGCTTTAAACTTTATATTTATACATCACAAGGAGTGCTACCCAGCCTGTGAACTTTTGTGGTTCTTGTTCAGCAGCTCACAGGCTCTTGTGCTGTGTTTGTCCCAAGTTATACAAAGGAGGAAGTAGGCCTGTCACGACTACTTTTGTTGCCCCATAAATAATTGTGATAAACAACTTAGTTGTTATTTTAAGACCATTTTACACCTCTGATATTGACAAAGGAAATTTTGTATGAGATAGAGAGGAAAGGGGGAATGACACACAGCAAAGGGCCACAGGTCAGATTCAAACCCATAGATGCTGCCATAAGGACTCAGCCACAGTGCCAGCTCTACCAGGCGAGCTATAGGGTCTCCCTGCGTGCCTATTCTATTTTATCTAGATGTGTTTCATATTCTGTTTTTACATTAGATTATATTATTATTTTATGAAGTCAGGATTTGTTGCCAAGGAGATCACTGCTGTATTATGATAAATAGAGGGGAACACACAGCCCTGGGAACCAAGGTCATTACACTGTTCAAAACATTGGATGTTCGGTGATAAGCACTTTTTGTCTCAGTAAGAAACAGTCCACTATAACAAAAATAATTGGACTAGTCAGTAATATTAACTGACTTGCTATACCCTGTGTTGTTGCACTTGCTTGATGTTTGGCTGTGTTAGCAAAGTTATATGGCTCTAACAGAGGAACATACAGAGCGCTGAAAGAACAGATTGGACTAAGCTTCGTCCGCCTCCTAGCTGGTTAACTGCCTCTGTAGCTGTTCAAACTGAACAAACTGAAGTTGAATTATTATATTGATAGTGCCTGACCACAAAGATACAATAGAGAGATCCAGCCCAAAGAATAAGCAATCCTAGTTTGCATCTTACCCATGTGGTCTTTGTTGGGGCAGTGTCTGGCCAGGTTTCTCAGCAGGCCGGTCAGCGGCCTCAGCTCCATGTCATTCTCGGTGTCTAACAGGTCCAGCAGAGTGGGCAGCATCCTCTCCTGCTCCACTACCACACCAGTCAGCACTGATGACCACTGGCGAGAGGGGCAGAGATCACATGAGTTCTGTTCCGTCGATTGTGTGCTATTGTTATTTTTCTTGCTGAAGAATTCAATTCCAAAGCAACCAAACAAATAAATCAGAGTATGAGGTCTTACCCTGGCCTCCCCAGCAGTGATATTTTGCAGGGCTCCTATGGTGGCCTCGCGGCTGGTGGAATTGCTGTCACTGTTCTGCAGTACAAGCCTGTATAGCCCCACCACCTTAGGGTGCCACAGCCACTCAGCCCCCTTAGGCTGTCGGGACACCTCAGACAGTATGGACATATTCTGGTTATGCTGCTGTGGAGGAGGTGAAAGACACAGAACATTTTCATTTGTTGTATAACAACATGTAGTATATTCTGTAGTAGCTACACAACAGTGAGTTTATTATATTTTCTTTCACTTTTCTGATATAAGGGTTTCTCTTTTTGCTCTCTCTATCCCCTCTCTCAGGATAGGGAGTGAGTTGCTGCCCCAATCGAAGGAGTTTAAGTATCTCGGGGTGAGTGATGGTACTGTTGCCAAATCTGTCCAATGGGCATGAATGTTGAGGTTGACTGATGGATTACCCAACTTTTTTACTGCTGGTACACTTTGTCATGGACCAAAGGTAGATCAAGGAAATAATTACCACCAGGACCATTAAGTATCAACCTTTGGAGACCCTTCCATTAGATCCTGACCAATATGGGACTTTTGAGATGGTTACCAGTTTTAGAGGTGAAAACTTCACTAATTACCAATATGGTGGCAGATATAATGAATTTTTGAGCTGGAATGAAAATATACTTTTTCTATGTGGATTTTGCACCAATATGGCTATGCTCAGGTACTCAGGAGGCTGCTTTTTTAAACAAGTAACTTTTTAAAAGAAAGAACTTCAATACTCATTTTAACATACACTGTGCACTGTGAATCAACTCTAGCTATTATAAATATATATAATATATAATTCTACTGAATAAACTTTGTAGTAACACCGATCTATTACCACAAGCATTTTTTTCTGTTCAGTTTGATATCGGGCAACCGCTGTATCGGTCAGGCTCTAATTTCCATACCAAGTTTCACAGAAGTTGAGCCAGGAGTTGTCAAAATATCTTTCTGTAGACTAAAGGGGATGGGGGGAGGGAAAGAACACTGTTCTCAGGCCCTGCTAAAGCGAGATAAAAGTCCTCCCTGTTCACCCTCAATCTATGCTAATGAGCTGCTCTAAGCAAGGGTATATCACATGGAAAAATAGATCATATAAACAGGTCATTTTCTCCTCATTCAAAGGGTGACTATGAGATCATACGTGTACCAGTGGGCCCAATGTTTACTCCACTGCTATTGAAATGAGTAATATGATCTGCTGGTTGTGTGTGTTGCATTGGAAACCGATCCTCCCTGTGGACCTGTGGCTGCTTCTCATGTTTCTATCTCCTAGGCCGCTTATTATCTGGCTTTTACCACGATACTTGAAAGAAGCCTGACCTTCTCAATGTCAGTGGTTTGACCTAAGGCTTGACTTTTTGGGGGGTTGACCAGTGAAATATTTTTTAAAATCCTGTCCAAAATGAATGTCTGTAAAACATCTGTATATCTGATAATGATGGTGCATCTGACAAACAGCACTTGAGGTGAGGTAAGATGCTTGTGCATGAAGAGTGTGATCTGTATTATTTATACAAGACCTGGATACAGGCCCAGTGGCAAACTGAGTTGGTCCCCTGACATGTAAACAGGGTATGGCTGGACTAACCCTAAAACAGAGTAAGATGGGTATTAAACAGTAAAGCAAATATAGCTGCGTTTTCTCTCACAGTTTTCAATATCTACTGTCCACAGTTAACACCTCCATTGAGAGAAGTGGATTTTGTTGGGGCAATGGTTGGCAAACAGCCTCTAAATATATGCGAGCACAAAGAACACAGATAGTGACATACAGCCAAGATAATCACCAGCAGACTTTTTGTCGAGCAGCAGGAACGGCAACCAGCAGAGTGAATGAGAGCATGGCTGCTTTACTCATCACGTAGAGGGATGTGATGGGTGTGGCATTAGCAGCTGAGCTAGAAGGCTGACATAATGTCCAACATGTTTCTGATTATATCAACTGTGGATCTAAAAGTGGACAAACTTATGATGAAGTAATGTAAATCAAAATAAAATGAATACATAAATATGTAGAATGTACAAAAAACTATTTTGGTAAAATTACCTTTTGTCAGATTTTCCTATATTTGACAACTCTGCTTTAACATCACTGAATATAACCATTCAGATCATTTCTATTATAATTTATAGTAATACTATTTGGCAATAACTCTATACTTAGTGTTTAGGTTATTGAAGACATTTAAAGCCTTGTTAGGGGATTTTTGTGGCCACTGGGAAATGGAACAAGCTGTAAACATTGACCTATTATCACCTTTTGTGTTATTAAGTTGTTACAGTATGTGGAAAATGTTAACAAACATCTAGCAGACACAGAGCAACATTGGCATTAGCTTGGAGTTTCTAGCCAAACATCGAATATAAGTCTAACAGAGGCACTCTCCTTTTAGATCTGTTTTGGTCTCCTTCTAACCTTGCAAGGCAGCTGGACTCGCAAGACCCCTAAATCACATGAGAATCAATCTTGCCAGGTTTCAAGCTATGTGCTTGTGTCCAACAACCAGCTGATTTCATAACTGTTGTAGGTGTGTAATTTTATGCGTGATGAATCTTACGTCATTGTTCTTTTTGTTGTACAGAGTAAAGCAGCCGATGGCGTCACTCTCCCTGTGGGCCGAGGCCCTCGTTGGGCCCTCCAGACGGAGTCGGACTGAGTGAGGAAGCTCAGTGTAAAGCTGGTAGGACAGATTCCTCATCACACACAATGAATTCTCCAAACCCTAAACATAAAGAAAGCCAGACAGAGGAGACAAACAGGGGTGTAAATAACCAACCTGAGTACATGCAGAAACATGTAAACACTCACACTCTAATCATATGAAACCTGATTTGAATGCATGATGTCCTTAAATGTTTAACAGGTTACTGAGGAAACTAGTTCCCTGCTTTCACTACTGGGTTGTCAAACTCTAAACAACACAGCATTATGGGTACATTAATATTTACAAAAACATTGCAGCAGGGTTGAGAGCTTTGTGGGGTTCTCTAAAATAAC